GTGAGTTTGCTAGGTTTCCCTCATGCAGGAGGCTGTTTTATGCTGATTGTCCAGTATTCGTGGCCTTCATTGAAGTCAATCTTGAGGGAAAACATACAAGCACTCATTTTGTAGAGGAGTAAACTACCTGACATGTGTGTAATGACAGTGACTCCTCCATTATATTATCTCATAAAAGATTCAGCTGGAAAACTTCCTTTCTCTTTCTCCTTTTTCTTCCAAAGTATAATGCATCAAAAGAGTCCATGTTGTCCACTGGAATATAATTCAATTTGACTTATTTCCACTTTATCATTCTTTTAGGTGTGAGATAGTGTTCTATGAATGTAAAACAATATATAGGGTCCGAAGACTCCAGTATTGAATCAGGGTGACACCAAACATTAACCATTATCAGAAATTTTTCTACTTCGTTCTTAGCATTATTTCCAGTACTCTAAACATCCTAAAATTCAACTGCCTTGAGAAAACAATAATGAGCAACATAATTCATTTTCTTTTTATGTTAATGTGTTGGTGCGAAATATACAATCAGTTTTATGCATTTCAAACAAGCAATTTTAGTTGAATCTATTGAATTTGATCTGTAGCTTTTCAGATGTAATTGTAGATAGACAAAGAAAATTTATATTTTAACTTAATTTTCACTCATGGTGCTCACCTAGTGTACCATTTGGGGTCTACTTTATGCTTTAAACATTACAGTATCTGAATTATGGATCAGAGGGCTCTATTAAAGGCCTTTCAAAATAGGGTCTTTTCTCAATATTTTGATTTGATACTCATTTTATGGTAATATTTTATGTGAAAATATCACTACTAAAATGTTTGCATATTTACTTTGGGTTATTGTTTCTTAATTCACTTATTTATTCAATACTGTGCACTGAGCTCTTGGTATACAGTGATAAGTTTCAAAGTTAAAAAAATATGTTGCCTAAGCTTTAATATATTAAAATACACTATATATTTATGTAATAAGTATATATAAATATAATGTATATTAATAGATAGGTAGATAGATAGATAGATATTCAGTCATTTATTTCACCTGGATAACATATTTGGGGTTCTTTTTTTCAGAACTTGTAAAATTTCTATAAAGGATACAATGGATTGGGAAAAGTTTTGAAGTTCTTTAACTTTTCATTTTTTTTTTAAGAACATTGCAAATTACTATATAGTAAATTGTTATAAAGTGGAAAACAATGCAAATGAATCTGAAGACAAGTTTTTAATTTGTAATTATTAGGTAGAAATAATCTTGATAATAATTTAAAAATAATGAAATAAAGTTCACAGGAAAGTATCTAGTTCCTTCATTTATTATTAAGATACAATTTTTAAATTTTTCTTAACTATCCTCTTTCTCTTTTTTGGTACACACTGTTTTCCTAGATTTTGTAGATTTTATCTTGTTTTCTTTCCTCTGTAATCCGTCAATATGGGAATTCTCCCTTCAGACATGACTGTGGGTGGTCCTGAGAGCTGGTCCCCAGTCTCCTGATCAGTAATTTCGTTTCCAGCTTTATTTTGTATTGGAGAGGAAAAATGAGTGAGAAGCTGTATATACTCCCCTACAAGGTCTTCAGTGGAAAAACTACGAATTTAGTCTTGTTGCCAGCACAGCATTGGGGGCTGGGTGGGAAGAGGAAGAGGGGAGGGATCTGCTGGAAAAAATGAAAATGTTGCCCCTTGGGACCTTCCATCAAGTGTGGCCACTGTACAACCTGCCTTATTGTCTAGTTTCCTTTTCCATTGAAAAGTTCAAACAAGAGTAGTTCCTATTTGATTTTTTTTCCCCCAATGGAAAATATTATTTACTAGCTAAGTAGTCCAAAGAGAATGAAAAGCCTGGATAGGAAAGATGGTAGTGGAAGTGAGTAAGGGAAGTTGAATAGAAAAGAGGAGAAAGGAAATATCCAAATTGACTTTAAGATAACAACAACAACATAAAAATACCTTGGGCTCCAGGCAAAAGGGATGGTGATATTTTGCTAAGCCCACTGCTTTCTCTCTCCCCTGTTTCTGGCCTACATTGCCTGTCATCCTGACTATTGCCCTCTTACCTCCACACTCTACTCTTACCATTCTGTCAATACACTGCTCCCCTAGACAGAAGGCTTCGGTGGCTACCCCCTGAATTCCTGGAAACACCAATTCCTTAGCTTAGGAAATCAGCGCTGACCGCAATCTAGGTCTGTCTGTCTGACTTTACTCCTCACTCTTTTTTCATGTTCCCTTTCCTCCAACCAGTCGAGGCTATTAACTTTGCCCCAGGTGTACCTTCTGACTTCCACATACCAGATTGTCCCTTTGGCCCAGAAATGGACTGTCATCTTTGCCTGCTGAAATCCTACCCAAACTCTGAGACCCAATTGCTTCATGAAGCTCTTCTAATCACATCAGCCTAGAAGCCCTCCTTTCTCTAGACTCCTGTATCATTTTGTACCTCTCCTAATGTCTCATTAGGTATTCGCACATATCTTATTTTCCCTATAAAATCTTAAGCTTCTTGGTCTCTTCTTTGCGCTCTTCCTTATTTTCTCCATAGTGTCTAGCATCTTGCCTTCCTTATGGTCTCTGAGTAAGAAAAATATATTGGATAAATGATGGAAGGAAATCTCGTTAGGATCAGCTAGGCTAACACGAAGTTCGAATGTTTATGCCTGGTTTTATAGCTTCTTCTTGCTTGATGTCCGTGGGTATCTGCCTCGTGCCCAAGTCAGTGACACCACAGGAAGGAGGACTAGGAAAGCAGGCCTGCTGAATTCCCTTCTGTAGATTTCCCCTCAGGAATGTAATTCCTGTCCTCATAAATTATATACATCTACTTGCCAGTGATATTTAGATGCTTTTTAACAGTAGATCAAACATTGCAAATATTCAACTGGTGATGCATGTGGGAAGAAGTGTTATGTTTTTCTCCTACTTAACTTTTCTGTGTGAACTAAATCCAAATGAATCTGAATTTTTGTAATTCAAAGAAAATACTGCGCCAACATTTTGAGAACCACTAGCTGCCAAGTGAAACCTGACAGCATATTCCTTGGTGACATCCAGTCATTAAAAGCTGTGTACACAGAGTGAGCAGCTGCCTAAAACTGCGCTCATATGCAAATGTGAACACTCCTCAATTAAAATTACATGGTGTACATTACAGTTTCTTTAGAAGCTATGAAATTTTCAAAATTAAATATAGTTGAGCTCGACCTTACGTACCTTGCCTTTTTTTTTTTTTTTTTTTTTTTTTTTTTTTGGTCATTTCCAGCTACTAGTCTCTCCAAAGAAAACAACTTTCTTGTTTCTTTTAGTTCTGTGTGTGCCCAAGCTTTTTTCCCAGTCGCTGCTACAAAAACTGAAGTGGTTCCAAACATCACTATTGTTTTTTTCTGTTTTTCTGTAACTCATATTTAAATACCAACTTTATGGTAGAGTGCATGTAAGACCAAATTTTCCCTAAAGGTATTTATTGTCTAGAATGGTGTTTTTCGGTTTGTTTGTTTGTTTTAATCTGTTAGCCTTCTTTTTTAGAAGTCATCTGAATGGCAGGTAGCCTTTTGATGACTGGCAGTTGTGTGGAGGAAGAACTGGAGTGGGGCCATATTAAAAGCTGGGAAATGAGTTAGATTTTTAGAAATGTTTTATTAAGATATATAAAAAAACAAACCAAAAAAAAAGCTCTTAATATTTCACCAAAAATCACATTATGGTGACCAATGACCTTGGGAAAATGTTTTTATGATTAAATGTATGTATTTTATTCTTTTTTTTTCTTTTTAAATTCATTATTATTGATAGTATTACAGATATCTCCCATTTTCCTCCCCTTTACCCCTTCACTCCCAGCCCCTATCTACCCACACGGGGAAATTTCTTAATTTAAGTACTTTGTAAGTGCTCCTCTTAATGCTAAAACTGAAAAATAATCTTTTCATCAAAAGACTTTTGTTATTATGACAATTCCCATGCAAATCTTTAATGTATTTATTTTAAGGACTGATTATGATAGCTCTTATAGAATGTTTTCAAAGTTTTATTCTGTTAATTGGGAAAATGTTTCATGCGCTTAGCCTTTGGTTAGCTTTTAAAAATTTATATGTGATATAAAAGAAAATATTAAGTTCGTATATCATGTAAATGTTTTTCCTAAAATGTCCGTTTTATTTTCTTATAGTTAATAATCATAGGGAACATTGTTTATTTGCATATAAACATGTGTCCTAAAGAAACAGTAATTATTACATTGTTTTGGAATACTTGCTCAGACTCATTTTCTTAGTTGCATTTAGTGGGTGGGAGTGGAAATGGAAAATATTTGATGACCATGAAAGAAATCTAAATATTACCAAAAGCAGCAATACTATATGAATAAATATGAATGTGAATCAGAAGACTCAAATGGTGAAAGTTACAATAAATACATACTAGAAAAAATAAAAGATATTTTCTATACATTCAAAATGTTGAAGGTGTTTCTGATTTGATATATGTGACCTCATAAGGAGAGTATATTAAATAAACTGCATAATCAAATTGCTATTTTGTTCTTTATCAAAATAAAAAAATACAGAATGGTAATTTGGGTCAAAAATAATGCCACAAACCAAATTTAGCTTTAATTACTATCTAGCCAAAAGAAGGAATAAACTATCAGCCAAGACCAAGGCTCTTTGATCTCACATTTCAACCTCCTTCTCCCCCACATGAATGAAGTGGTCTTTTCTCAAATGTTCAACAGGCCTTTTACCATTTGATCGGACAATTATTTTTAAAAAGGTTTAAAATGTGATCTGGAAAACCACATTGACTCTATGTGGCATATTAGCTATTCTTAGCCTGGTGGAATAAGCTGGAAGTGGATGAATAATGCAGGTTAGAAAGAAAACAGATGCTAAATATTACCAATAGGAAGGTTTTCCAGCAAGGAGACGTTCATTTTAGGACGAGATTTTTGTTGGCACTTTTGGCATTATGACGATTATTGTTTTTCCCTCCAGCTGTTACACATCTGTATCGAAGGCTGGGGCAATTGGCGTTGGTCAGAGCCCTTCAGCGTGGACCATGCCGGGACTTTTATTAGAACTATTCAGTACAAGGGTCGAACTGCTTCACTCATCATCAAGGTTCAGCAACTCAGTGGAGTGCAAAAACAGGTAAGTTCCCGTGTGTTCATGACCCCCACAGCTCTTAGTCGGTGGATGTTGGATGTAATTAATGGAAGGGAAACTTAAAGAAATGGAAATAACAATAAAGAGAATCACAGTGATAGGCCCAGTTACACCTACCACAGCCGTGCACCTGAGCACTTCAATGCTGCGGATGGTCCTGATGATGATGGAGATGGCTCAGACCCCCTTGTCCTTGTCTTTTACAAGAGCTGCTAACGAGCAGTAAAATTTACTGATTTTAGTTTCACCTCTTCTCCCTGTCACCACCTACCTCTGGTGGAGGTGCTAATGAGCTGTGAAATGGCCAAAAGGCCTTTATTGAGAAAGAAAAAAAAGCAAAGAGTGAAGGGACTCTGGATAACCCCCAGTGGATGACCGGGACTTGGTTCTCATACGTGCAGTCATAGTCTGGGAGGAAGCGTTGACACCCGGGCTGGGTCTCCAGCCTTCTTTCCTAGGAGTCCATGCTCACTGCAGTAAAAACCCACTGCAGTCTAGCTCTTGGCATATAAAACCTCAGCTCTCAGCACATATTTCTACGTATTTTATAAAACTTCCTTTGGGCTGCTTTTGAAGTTCCAAGACTGCAAAGGGGGTGGGGGGTGGAGTATCTGACACTTTTTTGTGTTCTTAAGATGTGAAAATGTGGTTTTTAAAAGATGTTTCTCGAGCATGGAGCATATGACAAGAGTAGAAAGAAAAAAAGGAAGTATGAAAATCTGAAAGCTGGCTTCACTGCCCACAATATAACTGGGCTTGTCATACGGGTTTGAACATACACTCTGCATCTTGATTGTAACAGTCTTTCCAGAACGTAGTTATCTGAGGACATGATAGCAGCAGCTCCCAGCCCCGGAAACAGAAAGGGGGAGCCTCCCTATGGAGCAGGGCTACGCCATTGCTGTTTGCCAGGGGTGAGCAGGAAGCAACTGGTGAGGTGAACAGGAGGACCCACACGGTATTCCTGGCCCACACCTAATCGGGTCGCAGCTGAATTGCATGTTAATATTGTGGGCAAAAGAAGTGAAATAAGAACTATAACAGAGGCATCTCAGAAGTGAAGCATAGAGTAGTCTCCCCCGTCAACTGATGGCTACAGTGGAACTGGGTAAAAGGAAAGGTACTAAGTATGTGACACAGTCTGCTCTTAAATTACAAATTTATGTAAACTTAACGTACACAACTAATAGTAAGTGTGAAGGGAATTTAGAGGTTTCACTAAGGCGGTATGACTTGAGCTGGACTTTGTAACACACGGAGAATGTGGATGAAGGGAGGGCATTTCCAGTAGACAGTGAGGGGACTGCCTAACCAGTGTGAGTGTTGAGCTGGAAAGTCATAAGAACAAGCAGCGTCTCTGACTCCCATCTGCCCTCAGAACTTCTTACATGGATGTGCTCTCAACAAATACCTCCCGCTCGTGCAGACCGGTTTTCTGACTCTGTCACTCACGGTCTTCCAAGATTGCCTATCCACCTCCTCACTCACCAGCGTGCCTGAGAAAAGGTCCTCCAGCATCTGTTTGAATACTCCAGGCGATGAGAGGCTCATGCTCTCACACAGCAGCCCTTCCCGTTACTTATAGCTACTAATGAGGTCTTTTTCCTAATTTTGAGTCGAAATCATTACCATTCAGCCAGTTTTGACCATTCCTCAGAACTTGTGAGGTGGACAGAACAGCCACACACCTTGTTGGGAGGACGCCCCTCTGCACCTTCAAGAACAGGAGGGAAGCGAGGATGTTTTCCTACTTTCCTTCTCTCTTAGGTGAAACTACAATCAGTAAATTTTACTGCTCTCTTTACTTTTCCTACCGTCCTTCTCTCTAGGCTAGTGGTTGTCGAGCTGAAGAGTATTATCACAGTCCTTGGGGACTTAAGATAGATTCCTGGTCACACTCCCACGGGACCAGGTCCAGGAATTCTTGGTGTGATGTGCTCATTTCTAACAAGTTCTCAAGTGATGATGCTTCCGGTCAGGGCCATGCTTTGACCACACAGCTCTGTCTGACCTTTCCCAGTTCATCCACCTCTTGTGCATGAAGTTGTTGGGGCAACTACCAACTAGTGGAATGGCAGGGTCCTTCTATGAAGAAATGGTTTCCGTGGTAGGTCCTGGTGGTTAAGGCAATTGGCTATGTGCCCTTGCTTAGCTATGTGATCTTGCCAGTTATTTAACCTTTGTGAATCACTTTCCTCATCTGTAAAATGGGGATAGTAATAGTGCTTCCTCAAGAAGTTAGTGGGAGGATTAAATGAGTTTTACATGTAAAGTCCTCACAACATGTCTGGCCCACTGTCGTAACCCAGGAAGCTTTCGTTACAATAACAATGATGACATACTCCTAGGCAGGAGTGGCACCAGTTGGACTTGTTTTGTTTACTCTAAGTCTCTCATTCTTTCATGCATATTACATATTTTCAAGGAGTGACATTAAATTTCAGGGATAAATGAATATATATAATGTTCCGGAGCAGATATGACACACTACAATAGTTCCCCACAAGTCAAAAAAGTTGGTCATGAAAAATACATTTTTTTTCAATTCTCAAAAATGTTACCTGTTTCTTTTTTCTGATTGTAAAAGATTTCCCATAACTAGTACCTATTACCCATATGATCTTAGACAAATTTCTTAATCTTTACATGTTTTATATTCCCTTTGTAAAAGAAAGCACCCAGAAAATATTAGTTCACTTTTGTTATTTTTATTTTAACTGTTATAAAATATTTCTAAAACCACAGATAGTCTAATGAAGAAAATAAAAATTACCCATAACTCAACCACTCAAAGATAAATACTATTATTACTTTCATGTATTTTTTCTATGTAGATGTTTTTAAACAACTTGAGATCTGGTTATAATAACAATTTTTCAACTTTTTTTTCCACTTAAAACATAATTCTCTCATGTTATCTAAAATTCCTGAAAATTTTCTTTGAATGGTTGCATATTAATTTACCATATGATCCATTGAAAAAGCATTTTCTTGTTGTTGGGTTTTTAGATAATTTCCAATTGTCACTGTAATAAATACTTATAAATAAATATCTTTGTGTATAAATAGATGTCCAAATTTCTGAGTCTATCCCTAATATAATTTGCTATAAAATTTAATTCCGTGAGCAAAGTATATGAATGTTTTTGTGGTACTTGATGCATATTCCCAAACTAAAAACATGTATTTTCATTCTTTAACAAAAATTCATTGTTTTGTCTCACCAAATTCTCGTTAGGGCTACACTAATCTTTTAAATATATGTTTGTCCCAAAACTTCTGCTGATTTTCTTAGTTTTCAAACTAAGCATTTTTTTCTTTATTAATTAAAGTATTACATATGTATCCTTATCCCCCTATTACCCCCCACCCACCCCCCACTCATGCCCTCACCCCTCTGGTGTCTGTCCATTGGTTAGGCTTATATGCATGCATACAAGTCCTTTGGTTGATCTCTCCCCCTTACCCCCAGCCTCCCCTACCTTCCCTCTGAGGTTTGACGGTCTGCTCGATGCTTCTCTGTCTCTGGATCTGTTTTTGTTCATCAGTTTATGTTGTTCATTATTTTTTTTAAAGTATTAATATAAAGAGGGGTTCAAAACATAACTAACAAAAATAATTTCCATACATTTCAAGTTTAAGGAATTCTTTTAATCATTCTTTGCATTAATGTCAAATACTAGTATACATATTTTAAGACATCTGGTGCCAAATGACATTTCAGAATTTTTCCAAATGTTATTTGTACTGATTAATGTTGGTAATCATCTTCTGTGGGTACTGCCTCTCACACTTTTTTCTGCTTCTACCCTATTTATAATCAATAATCCTAAAAAAAAAAAAAAATAGAATCTAGCCACACAGAAAAGTCCTATTGGAGAGCTGTAATGAAGCGGGCAGCCTTCACCTGTCTGAAGGGACGTGCCATCATCTCCCAGAGGAGCTGGAAGTCCCTTGCACATCCCCACTGTCAGGAAGGCACACACTTCAGTTATATTTTGAATGTTCGCATTTCTTGTAGTCAGGTGAGATTGAGCTCTATGTTAGAGCCATTTAAAAACTTAGCAGGTTGTGAAACGCAGGACACAAAAGCAGCAATTTATTTAACCTGGAATGAAGCAAATGGCGAGTGGTTAATGCTGAACCTGGGTTACTGAAAGG